TAGCAATTTTGTGGTTGTCACCTTCATTGAGACCTTTGTTTTGCATTGTAACCTACTTGTTGGTTTAGAATATTCAGATGCTAGTGAAAAAGAGTCCTATCCTGACAGCATCAGTCTTTTCTGAGCACTGCTGCCCCTGCTAGAGTGTGGGATGCCTTGGAAAGTATTTGCATCTCTTGCTTTCCTGCTGCATTGTCCCTGAAGTGTTTGTCTGGGCTCCCACTGCCAGGTGAGGGGGAATGGGTATAAGTAATTGGATGATGGGAGGAATGAGACAGTTGTTTTGTGATCTAAGCCAGGTGGACTGCAGAGTCCCACTGCCCAAGAAGGATGTCATGCATGGAGTCTGCACCTGGCAATATGCGTCAGAGAGACCCAGAGCTAGGAACAGTGACCAGTGACTATCTAGATCCAGAGAGGTTAGAATCAGATGGGAAACACAATTTGGTTCTGAGTACTACAGACTGATGCCTGACCGGGGGGAGGGCAGGTCAGGTTGGAACAGCACCCATTGAAATAAATGAGGCAGTTCACACTTCTGAGCTATTGTGTCAGGCTCTCTGCATACTCGGGCAGACATTGCCACAGTGGTTTCACTCAGGTCATTTTTGCTAGGTTGTCTTTGCAACCATACCATCTAGAGACTTAGGACTAGGTTCACAAGGGGGATTTAGGTGACATTCATGAAACCCCTGCTACCTTGCCCTGTAGTGCCTAAGGTCCTCAGGTGCCTACGTTTCCACCAGTAAAGTCCCCAGAGGTGCCTACATTTTTGCCAGTGGGCTTTTGGGAAGCCATCAAATTACTGACAGCACAGAGCAGCTCTGCCCTGACTCATGTCAACTCCCTAGTGACATTTACAAACTTGGTGCTCCCTCAGGAATCTCACTTGTGGGGGTCTAATTTGGTAGGTGTGCTCAGAGGTCTCTCTCAGTCACCCCTGTTGAAGCTGTTCTACTCTGTGTATGTACTGAAATCTTCATTGGAGCAGGGAGTGGAACGCGGGTATTGGAGGAGAACATCCTAGCGATTAGCTCTGTAGAATTCTAGAGGGTGTAGAGAGCATGGGAATAACTCTATAGCCTATGGCTAATGCATTCTCCCAAGAGACCCAGGTTTCACTCCCTGCACCAATGAACATTTGCACATGTCAACATACAGCCACAAAGCTACAATGTTGCAGTTGTGTCGCTATAGCATAGACACTTACTTTGTTGGTGGAAGGAGTTTATCCATTGATGTAGTTAATCCACCTCTCTGAGAAGCGGTAGCTAGGTCAACAGAAAAATTCTTCCTTTTACAAACTGGCACCCTGCTCAAGACCTCATGGCCCTGCCACACCCTGCCCTGAAAATGCTTGGGAGAGGATCCTCCAAACTGCCTAGAAGGGCTATGTGGGACATAGCCAATCAGGGTCCAGCAGGCTAGCATAAGAAGAGCTGCAGGGCCAGAGTGAGTTAGTTTTTTTCTGGAACTGGTGGAGTGTGTGGCTGGCCGAGGGAGCGAGAAGGAGCTCTAGGCTGGTAACTGGGACCCTATTCAGACAAGATCCTGAGGTTAGGGTGAAGAAGGTGCCGGGCTGTGGGGAAGTGGCCAAGGGAATTAAAGCAGCGATATGACTTAGATAAAGGGACACAGTGGATGGTGGCTATCAACAGGGTCCCTGGACTGGGACCCAGAGTAGTGGGCGGGCTTGGGTCCCCTCACCCCCAATAGCCACTGGGGGAGTAGTAGCCTGGACTTTGAGGCACCCCATAAGGGGAACAAAACTCATTAGTGGCCTAGCCAGAGAGCTGGGGCCTGAAGTGCCCAAAGAGGGCGAGGACATTGCCTCCCGGGAAAAGTCCTGGGAGTGTGTCTCGACACCAGGACTGAGACCATTGATAGATTATGGGACTAATTAAGGACCTGAGCCCAAGGAGGGCTACAGGGAGAGAAAGTGCAAGCGTTTCTCCCTTCCTGCAGGTTCAAGGCAAAACTAAATTCTCTAGGCTCCAATTCACCCCTAATTAAAAATTTTGTAAAGCACCTCACACTTTTCTATCCACATGTAATAATTTAGTCACACATCACAGGGTACAAATAAGTCCTATTGACTCCCTAAAGCCTATGTGGTTCTTCTTGAAAGAAAGGCAGGAGTCAATTTAGAATGGGGAAAAGTGGTGGTATGCTACTGAAGCTTGATCAGCTCTGGAGGTGACTTGAATTCATAGAGTTCTTGGTCCTCCGATTTCCAGAGCAGTCTAGGATAGTCTGTAGGACAAAGTTAATAATGTGTGGATCTTATGGTAGGAGGGCATTCTCTAGTTCTTGGCTAAGGCAAATGGAGTCTGGTGTCTCTGCTCACACCACACTCATATCCCAGTCTCCAACTAAAATACCATACTCTACCCCAAATCCAATAAGGCTTTAAGTTTCTGCTGTCAAATGGTCAAAATAGAATTTGACCTGAAGTTGCTCCAAAAAAAAATTATAGCTGGGATTTTCAAAGGACCCCGGGGAGTTAGCTTCCATTGGACATAGAGCAAAGCTATATGAGTGCCTAACTCCCTTAGGCCTCTTTGAAAATCCCAGTCTCAGTCTTTACCATTCGGTAAACCAAGTTTGAAAATCTGGCCCAATATGTCATCAATAGGTTTCAGAGTCATCACCCTATCTGAGAAGTAATGGAGCCAAAATTCATCCCTGGCATAAATCCATTGATTTAAATGATAGAACAGATATTTTTCTCTGGGGATTCCAAATGACCCCTAAGAATTGTAGATGCTCAAGACCTCTTTCCGCTCACAGCCCTACAGGGTCCTTTATCAGGGTCATATTTCCCATCCATAGGGCTTAGATGCTTACTTCTGCGGAAATTGTCAAAGACACCAAAAAAAAGTGGCTGTGATCTATGCTCCACTCCAAGGAGCCACAATCTGGCTTTGGGTGTCAGTGGGTATAGATGTACATCAACACTAACACTACTATTTCCAAATACAATTTACTTCACCACCAGATAGTACAGTTACAGGAATTTCACCAGAGAACAAACTGATGATATCTCCCTCCCATTCCCCCTCCTCCCCACTGGAATTCCACCCAAAGCAGCTTCATCTCTGAACACACAACAGATGGTCTGGGGATGTGTTCTCAAGAGTCCTTTTAAAGTATATATATTTAAGTTCTCCTTCAAGGTCCCCATTGTTAGTAATGCAGAGCCAGCACCATTTATTTATTTGAACTGGTAAGTAAGAAATATTTCACATATTGCTGTAGCTATTATAGTGATTCTGAATGTTCATTATTTCATGGATGTTTTGAATCTCCTTCATCTATCTAGTATATCTATGTCACCATTTCTCGCTTTAGTGAGTTATATGAAACTTTCTGGTGCTATGGGGTGCACAATTTCACTCTTCTGTAGTGTCTGAAGGGCTCAGAAATTTTGAATATAAACACTTTATTTATGTTGTGGTTTTGTTTCTGAATGTACAGCTAACTTGCAAATATGAGAGAGTATAATCTTTCTGATTTAGGTAAGGAGAAAACTAATGGATCCTGATATCAATTGGACTCTGGCACTTTGTATGCTGAAAATCTGGAAACATAAAATAGATCAAAATAAAACATAGGGTGATTCTATATTTTACTACTATATTTTACTAATGCTTTTAATAAAAGCATTCATCATCATCATCTTCACCATCACCATCATCTCTGTCTCAGCAGTCAGTATCTATCTTTTTATCTATTGATCTATCAATCTATCTATCTGAATCAGGTGGGTAGCTAGCTCTTGTCATAATATTTTCCCATTTCTCTTTTTGTGTGTTTCCTTCTGTCTCTATCTATATATCCAACTATTTGTCTCTCTGTTGGAATATTCAAAACTTTCTGGTGTTGTTGAGAGCAGAATCTGGCTCTTCTGTAAAGTCTTGTATTAACCTACCATGCCATTGAGGGGCACGTAGATTTTATATATGCAATAATGAGAAACTGCAATTTTTGTCATTTAGCTAAACTGAAAACAAATGGATCTCAATACCAAGTGGACTGCAGTACTTTGCATGGTGGAAATATAAAGCAGTTAAAGAAATAATAAAATTATTGTATATTTTGTATATTTCATTAATTAAAAATAAGTTTTATTGCTCATCATTCTCTCTCTCACCAAATTATTCACTCTCCATCTACATGCATCTCTCTCTGTCTCTTTATCTATCTGTTTGAGTTAATTGAAAATTACAGTTTTTGTGGAGGGTAGAATCTGGCTCTTCAGCAGAAAGACATTGTAACCTACTATGCACATAAGTGTCATGCTTACCCTTTTATCCTTTTTTAATGTTTATTTTAAATGAAATCTGGAAATGTATGGCAGCTAAAGAAATGAAGTTTAGATTGTTTTTATATTTTACCAGCTAGTGGTAATAATCTGTCTCTCCACTGTCAGTGTTTTCACAGTACCATGCCTCTGACTGTAGTATTAGATTTACTGTCCATGAAGATTAAAGTCCTTTATTTATCACTTGAATATGTGCGGTATGGTCCATGGAGGGACAAATTATCTCCAATACACAAGCACTAGCCCTGGCTAAGGGAAAGACTGGTATCAAAGAGTTAAAGCAAAGACGGTGAATCAGGACCTTTCCTATGTCCTCCTTCAAGTACTCGTAAAGGTATGTGATCTACCAATGAGGGAAGGATTCTTGAGTTCTATCCCAAGCTCAGAAAGGGAGTGAACTCTACTGTTTAGTGATTTGGGAGACTCAGAATCAGGACTCCTGGGTCCTATTCTCAACTATGAGAGGTGAGTAGGGTCTATTGTTAGAGAAGCAGAGGTTGGGAGTCAGCACTCCTGGTTTCTATTCCAAGTTTTGGCAGGTGAGTGGGCGCTAGTGGATTAGCACAGGGGGCTTGGAGACAGGTCTCATGAATTGTATTGCAGGCTCTGGGAGGGAGTGTATTGTAGTGGTCAGAGGAATGAGGTCTAGGAGCCACAAGCATTCCTCAGCCCTGGGAATGGTGTGTGCTCTAGCAGTGACATTCCTGGGATCTAGTACAAGCTCCAGAAGGCAAGCAGGTTCTAGGGGTTAGATCAGGGTCAGGGAGTCAGGATGTCTAGCCTCTATTCCTGGATCTGAGAGGGAAATGGGATCTAATGGTTAGAGAGGATTAGTGGAAAGAAATTCTAGACTCCTGGTTCTGCCAGTGACCAAGCTGAAATATGCAAATTCTTTTATCATAACTCCTTTTTCCTTGTTTATAGACCATTCTACTCTCTGCTGCAGACAAGTGAAGATGTGGTCATGGAGAATCAATCCACGCCAACAGAATTCATCCTTCTTGGATTTCAAAATATTCAGGGGTTACGTTTCCTACTGTCTTGGGTTATCTCCATCATCTACATCTTCACCATCTTGGGGAACATTCTCATCATCTTCCTCTCCTTGGTGGAACCACGTCTCCAAACCCCAATGTACTTCTTCCTGGGAAACCTCTCCCTCCTAGACGTCTGCCAGACCACCACCACCGTGCCCCAAATGCTGGTGCACCTCCTCTCAGGCAGGAGCAGTATCTCCTATGCAAGGTGTGCAGCACAACTCTACTTCTTCCTCTTTTTTGTGGGTGCAGAGTGCATCTTGCTGGCCACCATGGCGTACGACCGCTACATGGCCATATGCAAACCCCTGCGCTACACACTGCTCATGAACAGGAAGTTTTGTGTTCTGCTGGTTTCAGTCTCCTGGCTTAGTGGTGCACTCAATGCAGCCTTGCACACATTCCTCACCATCCACCTGCCCTTCTGTGAGGCCAACAGGGTCAACTACTTCTACTGTGATATCCCACCCCTGCTATCTCTTTCCTGTGGAGACATCTCATTCAATGTCACCATGATACTGGTATCCAGCATCTTCTTGGGGTGGAGCCCCACCCTGTGCATTGGACTTTCATATGGATACATTGTTTCAAGGATACTGAAGATACATTCCCCTGAGGGGAGGAGCAAGGCCTTCTCCACCTGTGTGTCACATCTCACTGCAGTCCTGCTCTACTATGGGAGTAGCATCTTCACCTATGTCAGACCCCTCTCTAGCTACTCATTGGATAATGACAAGTTAATCTCCCTGTTGTACAACATCGTCACCCCCATGTTAAACCCATTGATCTATACTCTGAGGAACAAGGATGTGAAGAGAGCCCTGAAAAAGGTCCTTGTGAGGAAAATGTTCTTCTAAGAGAATCAACAATACTGGCATTGGTATCTATTTCCATGAATGGGATGTAGTAAGTTAGAACATATGGGTTCTGGGAGTCAGGACTCATGGGTTCTTTTCTGCTTTCTGGGAAGGGAGTGGGTTTTAGTGGTTAGAAAGGGGGATGCTGGGAGTCAGGATCCTAGTTTACATTTGATGAGTCTTGGAGGGGAATGGGTCTAGGGGTTGGAGCAGCAGAGTTGAAGCCCCAGGACTGTTGCAAAGAGCTTTCATATCTATGGATGAAAGCTTTTATAGGGGTTCTAAATGTTATTATTAAATATGGAAGTCAATCACTAGGAAAGTTTGAGAAAAGATCCATCAATAGAACATTACAATTAAACTGAACCTTAATTTATAAACATAATGTTAGTTGCTGTGTGGCCTTGAATGTGTTTCACATATTTATGAAAGATGTGGACAAATTGGAGAGAGTCCAAATGAGAGTAACACAAATGATAAAAGGTATAGCACCTATGTGGAAAGGTGAAAAAAGGTGAAAAAAGGTGGCCATGTTTAGTCTTGAAAAAAAAAAGACCGAGTGGGGACCAGATAACAGGCTTTAAATATGTTAACGGCTCATCAAAAGATGAGAGGGATCAATTGTTCTTCATTCCCACTGAAGGTAGGAGAAGCAGCAATGGGCTTAATCTGCAGCAAGGGAGATTTAGGTTAGCTATTAGGAAAAGCTTTCTAACTCTCAGGGGAGTTGAGCTCTGGAACAGGCTTCCAAGGGAGGTTGTGGAATCTCCATCACTGGAGGTTTTTAGGAACAGGTTGGAAAGACACCTTTCAGGTCTGGTCTAGGTTCACTTGGTCCTGCCTCAGCACACGGGGCTGGACTTGATGACCTCTCATGGTCCATTACAGCCTGACATTTCTATGATTCTATGATATACATTTGACTTAAAAAATGAAATTTTGGGCCAGCCCTTCAACTACTTAAGCATGTGGACTCAGATTTCCAAGGGTGCCTAAAGCACCCAACTCCCATTGATTTTTCAATGAACTCCCTTATGCCCCTTTGAAAATCATGGCCATAAGTAATTGTTGGATTGACTTACATCCTCTCCCCTCCTGCGAATGCACATGAATTCCTTCACTCATGGGAGTAAGAGTCCACAGGCCTGTAAACTCCTCTGCAGTGTTTCATTTGTTACAGAGATTTGATGCTCCATCCCTGATATGGGTGCATATTAGTAGAGGGTGAATTGACCATTCCCTATTGCCTAACTCCCTCAAAGGCTCAGGCTTGGATTTTCATGGGAGCCAAAGGAATTTAGGTGCCCATCTCCCATTGGGAGTTAGCCTCCTTCAAAAAACAAAACAAAACTCCCCAGCATTTTTTTATCTGTAAAGTCATTTCATATCTTTAGATGAGAAATACTATGGAAGGTCTGGTCTAAACTGCAAAGTTTGCCAAATAGCTATGTGGACTAGGAGTGTGAAAAACGTCACAGCCTCTCACTGACATGCTATGCCACCAAAATCCGTGGTGTACAGGCAACTATGCTGACAGAAGAGTGTGTCTGATGCCATTGTTTATATCATTCAGGCAGATGTTGTAGCTATGCCACTATGGGGCTCTGCTGACACACCATTCCCAGCCAAGAGTTTGTAATAGACAAGCCCAAAATGACAAAAAAGTTTAGTTATAGTATTTCTCATTTGCCTGTGTTTATTTCTCATTAACTTATACTAATTATGTCCATTTCCCTCTGCTTTTGTGTACTATTTAATCCTGTTACAGGTATTTTTTTTTCTCTGCAAAATGTGTGGGATATATTTTGTCTAAAAGGGTGTTACATAAAATAAAATAGATACTGAAGAAGAATATGAAATCAATCTAATCTATCCTATCTATGCCATCAAGGAATAAGGTGTGCATTTTTAACACTGAGATTAATTAACCATTGGAACAACTTATCAAGGGTTGCGGTACATTCTTCATCACTGACAATTTTTAAATCAAGATGGGATTTTTTTTTCTGAAAAGATCTCTAGAAATTATTTTGGGCAGTTCTCTGGCCTATGTTATACAGTAGGTCAGACTAGCTGATCACAATGGTCCCTTCTGGCCTATGAATCTATAGCTACTTATATGACTTCCATCACCATAGTATCTGAGCATCTCACTAGTAGCTCAGAGAAGGCAGTTTTTCCTTTTCAGAGAGGTTTTTCCATTGCACATGGGTCTATTTTTATTTGGGAGGCTTCTGGCACTCTGGGGCCCTGATCTGAGCACAGAATTTCCAGGAGTGGGGAGGGTATCCTCAGACAAAGCGGGACTACCCCATCCCTGCTAGGGCAGAAGAGGCCTTGGGGAAAGAGAGGCCTACAGCTGAGCAGGTGCTAATTCCCTAGAGACGTATATAGAGGGAGTATTCCTGCTCTGCTCTGGGTAGGCCAGACAGAGAGAGACCAGGACTGACTCTGTAGCCTGGTGGTTAGAGCACTCAGCTGGGAGACCCAGAATCCAGTCCCCCTGCTCCAATGACTTTCATTATTTATCCACACTGGAATGACTCCAACAGGAGAGATTGAGTGAGCCCCCTGTCAGAATATCACATAGGGCAGTGGTTTGAGAGGTGGCAAAGCCCTATTCAAATCCCTTCTGCCACTCAGGTGCATGGGGGATGTAAACCTGGGGTCTCCCATATCCCAGGTGCGTCTCATAACCACTAGGCTAAAAGTTATGGGGGAGCTCCTCCTTCTCCCACTTGCAAAAAAACAACTTAGGTGTTGAACTGCCTGAGAGGGGCGGGGATTAGCACACATTCCTCTCCTTGTCATCTCCCATTGGTTACCTTAGCTGGCTCCCCAACCAGCATTCTGGCTTTTGCAAATCCCATTCTGAGGTGCCTATCACCTCCCACTCATTGTACAGGAAGCGTAAGAGCTGAACTCAGCCTTTGTGAATCCCAGACTCCCAGTGGTTTTCTAGGTACCTAAAAGTTAGGCCTGGTGACACTCAGTGTCCCCATGCCTAATTTGTGAAGCTAAACCTTAGTTCTTCTGAATGGTGCCAGGCAGACAGTCCAGGAGCCTGCCTCACCCCAGGTGACCCATGGAGAAGCATGGCACAGCGTTAGCCCTCCCTGTGTCAGCACACAAGCATCTGTGGACTCCAGCACTCACCGCGGAACTAAAACTCCACCAGAGGCAGGGGGTAGTTGGCCACAGCTACGGTTCCTCTCTCCACAGCAGTAGTGGGGCTAGATGACCATTTGTGGTCCCCTGTTGAACAGGGTAATAAATCACAGATTCATAGAAATATTGGGCTGGAAGGGACCTCCTGAGTCATCAGTTCCAGTACCTGTGATGAGGCAGGACCAAGGAAACCTAGACCAGCCCTGCCAGGTGTTTGTCCATCCTGTTCTTAAAAACTTCCAGTGATGGGAATTCCACAACCTCCCTTGGAAGCCTATTCCAGAGTTTAACTGTCTTTAGAGTTATAATGTTTTTCCAAAAATCTAACCTAAATCTAAGCCCATTACTTCTTGTCCTGCCTTCAGTGGAAATAGAGAACAATTGATCCCCATACTCTTTATAACAGCCCTTATCAGGTCCCTCCAGTCTTCTTTTCTCAACACTACACATGCCCAGTTTTTTTCACCTTTCTGCATAGGTCAGTTTTTCTAAACCTTTCATCATTTTTGTTGCTCTTCTCTGGACTCTCTCCAATTTGTCCTCATCTTTCCTAAAGTGTGGCACCCAGAACTGGACACAGTACTCCAGCTGATGCCTCACCAGTGCCGAGTAGAGTGGGACAATTACCTCCTGTGTCTTACATACAACATTTCTGTCAAGACACCCCAGAATGATATTAGCCTTTTTCACAATTGCATCACATTGTTGACACATATTACATTTGTGATCCACCATAACCCCAGATCCTTTCCCCAGTACTACCACCTAGCCAGTCATTCCCCATTTTGTAGTTGTGCATTTGATTTTTCCTTCTTAAGTGAAGTACTTTGCACTTATCTTTGTTGAATTTGATGCTGTTTAATTTAGACCAATTCTCCAAATTGTCAATGTTGTTTTGAATTCTAATCCTGTCCTCCAAAGTGCTTTTTCCCCCTCCAAGCTTGGTGTCATCTGCAAATTTTATAAGCATACTTTCTACTCCATTATCCAAGTAATTAATTAAAATATTGAATGGTACTGGACCCAGCACTGACCCTGTGCGACCCCACTAGATACATCCTCCTACTTTGACAGTGAACCATTCATAACTCCTCTTTGAGTATGGTCTTTCAACCACTTATGCACCCATCTTATAATAATTTGTCTAGACTGCATTTCCATAGTCTGTTTATGAGAATGTCATGTGGGACTGTGTCAAAAGCCTTACTAAAATAAAAATATATCTCGTCTACTGCTTTCCCTCATACAGCAACCCAATAACCTGTCAAGGAAGGATATGTGGTTGGTTTGGCATGATTTGTTCTTGACAAATACATGCTGGCTGTTCCTTATAGTGGTTAAAGCTACCTAGGAAATAGAGGCTGACGAGTCTAACGAGACACTTCAATTAACAGCAGGATACCAAGGGAGGACAAATAACTTATATAGTGGTAATGAGAGTGGCCCATTTCAAACAGTTGACAAGAAAGTGTGAGTAACGATAGGGGGAAATTAGTATTGGGGAAATTAGGTTTAGATTTTGTAATGACCTAACCACTCCCAGTCTTTATTCAGGCCTAATCTGATGGTGTCCAGTTTGCAAATTAATTCCAGTTCTGCAGTTTCAAATCAGTTGGAGTCTATTTTTGAAGTTTTTTGTTGAAGAATTGCCACTTTTAGGTCTGTTATTGAGTGACCAGGGAGATTGAAGTGTTCTCCTACTGGTTTTTTAATGTTATGATTCCTGATGTCAGATTTGTGTCCATTTATTCTTTTGTGTGGAGACTGTCCAGTTTGGCCCTGCTCCTGTATTTTCCGCTCCGTGCATCTGATGAAGTGGGTTGTAGCCCACAAAAGCTTATGTCCAAATAAATTGTGTTAGTCTCTAAGGTGCCACAAGGACTCCTCATTTTTTTAACAATAGTAATGTGATGTTCAATGTATTTTATTCATATTCATCATTGTCATTTCATAGAGGATCTGCCTCTTTCTGAATTTATTTTTGTAAGATCTGCTCTAGTTCAATAACAACTATTGGATTTGAAGCAGGAATTAATTCGCAGAAGTCCTATGGCCTGTGTTAAACAGGAGGTTAACTAGACAATCACAGTGGTCCCTTCTGGCCTTAAAACCTATAAATTATTGTCTCCTTCCATCCATTTCCTATAATGCTGCTTCCTACTCATTTCTGACCCTGTGCTGCCATCTAGTGATCACATAAAGGAAACAGAATCTCTTTGATATGAGCCGTACTCTCAGGCTCTTCTTTTTACTTTTCTATCACGATCCATTTCCAAATGCTTCCCGTCTGTCGGTCAGAATGGCATATGGCCCATCTGTGACTGCTATTAGCAAATAGCTCCAATGGCCAGAGATGGGACACCAGATGAAGAAGGCTTCAGAGAATTATTATAGATAGGTGGGTCTCACCCACTTTCGCCTTCCTCTTCAGCATGGGGCACGGGTCACTTGCTGATCTGAACTAGAGTAAATGATGGATTCTCTGTAACTTGAAGTCTTTAAATCC